TACCAAAATTATCCATATGTCGATTGTCGACAGAAGATATCTCAAATAAAAGCACATGAATTTTAGTCATACGCATGGATTCACATGGACAAACGGAAATGCCCGATGGCATTATGGGTAAGTAAACATGGCCAACTTTGGTTTTGTCTCTCTTGCTGTCTCGGCTAGAATTGTAGGTTGTCGTGTGCGGATTACCGGGTGCTTATGCCTGAATTTAAGTTTGAGTTTGCAGGACTTTTTTCATTTCTCACGTATACTATGGAACGGTGTGTGTTTTTACCACTTGACGTTAACACGATGGGTTAGAGTGTTAGATACAATGCTGTAAATACCGGTACTTGGGTACGGCACCGCTAAAATTGTAATATGAGCTGAAGAGTACCGGTACCGGTATACATACAGACGTGGGTACGGGTACCTACACATTTTAAAGGAACCACAACGGCGACCGGTACCGATTTTTTGGTTTTGTACCGGTACCGGTACGTACTTTACTTCACCTTAACTAAATTTGTACATTTCTATAACGGTATTTGTATATTTGCGATAAAACAATACCGTACGGTACGGTACCGGTACCTTTCTTCCTAATGATGTTATGTCTGAATTTCATAAGGTACCGTTACCGGTATAATTAATTTTTCAATAGCAAAATATGGCAACGAGTACAGTTTTTATTTTGTACCAAAAAGATGTAAATTCAATAATATTAAATGTTTATAGACTGTTTGATTATTTTTTTAGGTTTTTCAGTTTTTGCAGAGTGTCTGCAGCCTGAAATTTCATAAGTGTCTTATTTCTTGATTTTGTACGTGTTGCCATATTTTACTATTGAAAAATGAATTGTACCGTATCGTACCATACCTTAATACATTAGAAAGAATAATGTTTTATTGCAATATAAAAATGTACAAATTTCTTCAAGGTCCAATAAATCGGCAATATTTCTCGCGTGTTATCGTCCACTTATCCCTCGTAACTCACATTAAAATGCGAAATCGAAATGCACACTCGAAATCACACTAAAATGCGTCCACAAACAACGATGTTACGACCGAGAACCCGACCGAAGAAAAAAATCGGTTCATTTTTTTATGTCGCCAACTGCCTATTGTTCCTTGTTGCCTATCCTATGAAAACTTGAAAATCCATTGAAACATAAGAAATAAAAAGATGAAACTTGTCAGAGTTGTGTTTCTTTTAACCATCTTTAAAGTTTCGCGTTTCTACAACGGGGAGGTACGCATTTCCAATAGGTCAATAATATCTTTGTCGACCAATTTGCAACCACCATGTTTTTGTGTGTTTGATTGCTGGCGATGCGGTGTTTTTTTTTAATTTGACGAGTTGTGTTCGAAATAACCATGTTTCTAAAATATTGGATTGTCAAAAATGCAATTAAAAGCCCAATTTTCTCACACATGGCTGCGTATGTCTGTAGTCTCGACGCAGCAGAAGCGATGTTCAAGGCTCGAAATCCGTGGTTGCACACTGGTCGTTTGGTTGCAAATACATCTTCTGAGTGTCATACTTTGGTGGTTTGTATAGCTTTAACCCCTGGTCGTAGAAAGTTAATTCGAGATGTAGCATGTAGAATAAATGCCAATGCACATAAGGTTAAAAAATTAGAAATATTGGTTTTTATTTTATAGCGATGTGAATGAAATCGTCCGCATACTGGCTGCACCACCCTGCAGCCCTAGGTGTAAATAAAAGTGTATAATTTCTAAAACTTTTGTAAAGCTTGATGAAGTGTTTGACGGATGTGTTATACAGTCAGACAGTGCATGCAATAACTTTGTAGAAGCTCTTCGTTGTGTTTGTTCGATGTTAGGATTGTCAGATTGTGTTGAAAAATATCCACCATTCAGCCATTATATGAGTTACTGCAAATATCTTAATGTCAATTGCAGCGAACATTCCATAACCTGTTATTTTTTATATGACAATGTTGTTTATTGTAAGTCTAAAAGCAGGTCAAATTAACGGATATGAAAAAGCAGTTCAACATTTGTGGCTGACAGATTTGTTGATTTTATATTCAGTGTCTGTTATTGCAGGCATCTCACTTTTAGCTGTATGCTCATTTAGTCATTGTTGTGTCAGAGTTTGAAAATACAGAAATAGGGAAGCATTGAATTCCGTCACCTGATAATGTGACAACATGTTACGTGACTGTGGGATTATCTGGTTTCTCAAACTTTTTAGACCCCAATGCTTTTTTGTCTCGTCTCGTAGAACACCAAGAAATTAGAAGATAAAATTAGTAATAACAAAGTTGTGGAATGGATTTACTTTGTGCATCAACTTGCACAACAGCCTAGCATGTCAACATCCATTGAGAAGGGTGGTCTGGTTTCCAAGAAATTTGGCTAAAAAGTTTGCTGTAAACTTGACAATTAAAAAATTAGGCCAACAGTAAACGATATTGAATGGTCAGCAAAAATGCCATGCTTCCCAGACTAGCACGAGGCCCATCCGCCTGTTTACATTGCAAGTAGAATGGCCGAGATCTCTATGACGACCAATTTAGTCTCAATTTCAATCCCTGTACTGTGGAACAATCCAAGGAAGGTTCGAAACGCGACTAAACAATTACAGTATGTTTGGATGAATGTCATGCTTCTGAAGGGACACATACCAGAACACATTCCATACCTCGCATATAATTCACCTTACCGTATATACTCGCAGATAGGTCGCAATTTTTTCCTTATATTTAAAAAAAAAACATAGGTAGGTGTGATCAATCCGCTCGACATAACTCAGGGTCTGAATGTAGTGGCAATGATATACAGGTTTGTAGCGAGTTGTTTATTCATGAAAATTGTATTATGGTCTGCGCTTGCGTACATGCACTTATTATCGCTCACAGGGATCGATAAACATATTTTGATTATATTAAGCCCTACAAAATAGGAAGTTATCTATGCAAAAAAGCTAGGAAAAGGGCCTTTTAAATTCCTAGATTTTCAGTTCGACTTATGTGCGAGTCAACTTTCTTAACACAAATCTAATAGTGCGACCTATACAGAGGGATGAAATATTGGCGAGTACTGTATATACGGTTAATTGTATTGAAAAGGATTCATTATACTTGTGAAATAATATATAGATTATCAGTCATTGGTTCATAAAGCTCAAAACATATCAAAGCTATACATTTATCCAAATTCTTAATTTTTTTTTATTACTATATTCATATGCAGCGTGTTTCATGTTGTGTTGTGTCTCTATCTATAGATGTTGTTTTGTCTAACAAACTCCTTTGTACAAACAGTTTTGTACACTCCACCCTTATCCCTGTTACCACACCCACCCACCCTCCTTGCACAACTGTCTGTATAAAGGACCATATTGTACATATTTGATTTACCCTATTATAATTTATATATATCAAAAGGGGTGTATGTCGCACGTTTGTGTTTTAGGCCAATATGGTCTTGTGCATACATCCCATCTTCAGTATTTATAATTACTTACTCTTTTATATTGCTTTTACGAGACGAATAAACATACATACACATACATACATTTAATATTAAAATCGTGTCATTAGTTTATAGCAGTGGTTCCCAATTTTTATATTCTGTGGTCCCCTTTCAAACCCTCTCAACAATTGTGGCCTTCTTCCTTATAAAAATACCCAGGCTTCAATTATACACGTTATCATCAGTTATTTTATAATAAAAAACCAACAAACTAAAATGGAAGCATAAAGAATTACAATCAAAGAATTAAACAACTCACAGTCAATTTCAAATTGATGTAGTCACAGCGAATTTACCTAGTGGAGGTCTTTGATTGTGGGCCCCTCAGAGAACCGTTCTTCGGCCCCCTAAGAAGACGAGGGCCCAATTCGAGAAACCCTGTTTTATAGCCCCAAGCATCTACAAAATATGATTTTCAGAACATATGTATAGCAGTTGCAAATGTGAATATGAATATTGTATTAATTCCATGTATATTTTAATTCACAGGTTAGCAATAATAAATTGTTATAAACATCCATATATAAACCAAATGTTTAGAAAAATTCTATATGGTATTGATTAGCTATCTATTAGGCATTTTCAACCACATGTCTTCTATATCTGTAGCATGCATGAAGCTTAATGTCCTAATATAGATACAATATTGATAACTTCCTTATAGCGACGCTTCTTTTAAGATTTAGACAGTGATGTCATTCTGTGTAATATTGTTACAACGTCTTGTGTTCATGACGATTTGTTTCTGCTATTTTGATGTCCCATTGAATTAGATATAAATAAAAAAGAAATTGCTAGAAATAAGAGTAGATGTTTGTTTAATAATGATGTGTGTTTGTTGTTTCATTGCTGCATTGAGATAACATTTTGTTGAGTAACAGTAGCTGCAACAAACATTTTACACTGGGCATTCTTTATTTCAAATTAATTTCTTATAACTGAAACATTATCATGAAAGGTTTTTTTTTCTTGGCCCTCGAAACAAATTGTTTCAACATTAATAATGAAGAATTAAGATAAATGTACTCAGTTTAATCTAATTTCTAATAATCTAATGAAATGGCTTGACGGTGAGGGATTTTATGCTACGCACGAAGAACTTGCTCATTGCTCTACATCACAATTTGCCCAGAATACAACATTTATGAGTTTTGCCATTATGATATTATGTTATATCATACAACATCGACTGTTACCTATTATCAACTAAGTCTGGTAACTCCAAAGTACCTGTACTCGTTGTTGTTAGAATATATTAGCATTGTCTGTGAAAGGGTACTCCCGTAGTGTGTGTACCAGGTTAGGGTTAGGCCGTAATTCTATTTTGATTTTCTTTATTTTAATTCTATTCAGAGTTCTATTTTATAAGGACTGTCTCTGTTATCTAAGTGAATTAATCAGTCTGTAAAATATATCGTGTTCAAGCCAGAAACTGTCCATTTTCTTCTGCAGTGCTTGTTATTGTTCCATAAACTTTGTCTAAATCATAATACTTTGTTTTTCAGTTATACATATATATATAAACATGAAGGGTGTAAAATAAAACATCATCATTAAAATCTTCACTCCAAAATTGAAATCAAATCAGCAAGATGCCGCCACCACCCCCTCCCCCACCGCCGCCCCCCACATTGGCGGTGGCGAACACAGATAAACCAAAGTTGTCAAGATCAGAAGCCGGAGGTAGAAGTGCTATGCTCAATGATATTGCTAATTTTAAAGGAAAGAAACTGAAGAAAGCAGTAACAAATGATAGAAGTGCACCTGTTGTTGCAAGTATGATTTTTATTCTTTTATATATGAATAGAGATGGGCCGTTCAGAATACCAAATCTAGAGGATTTGAATCCCAAAGTATTCGAATATTGCAATTATGCTCAAATTCGAATCCGGCAATGTGGTGGAGAATCCCTTCTATCTGAATAACTTTGAAAATAGAATAGGATTCAGTATTCTGGATTCGTTTCAAGTATTCTAGAATAATCTAAAATATTAAATTATTCTATGCGTCCATTCCTATATAGGAAGCTGGTTTGAAATCAGTGACTGGAGCTTTTTGTCATGATCTATACAAACTGCGACTCTGATCCATTGAGATTCTTTTTCTACATCTATTATTGTGAGCTTAGCACTAGGGCTGGGCATATTGAATAGTAAATTATTCAAATCAGTTCAGATGAGGTTTTCGGATCACCGACATATTGTTTTTTTTTGCCGGGTCCTAGGTCATAGTGAATCCCTAATTTTTTTTTATTAATATCAAATTTTCAAAATGCAATTCTGACATATGACTCACTTTTTTTGAGTGAAGTATTGATGAAACATTTTTCTTACTGTTTGTAAACGCTCAACGAACTGTCTGAGTGATAGATTATGTGTTTTCACTAATTTATGTGTCTGGTGAACCCATTGCTATAAAGCAGTCAATACATCTACATATCTTCCAAGTAAACAAATATTCGATTCGATTCTGAAATCATCAGATAATTGAAAATGCCCAGTCCTATTTAGCGCAAGCTCCAACAAAATTTCATAGCTCCAGTTCTGACCTCTCCAGCGCTGCTTTAATGTGCATGATATTACTTGCTATCGATGACTATGCTATTATTGTGTATTAGATTTTGTTGTTCAATCCCACTACCTATCCCAGTATGTAGTATATTTGATGTGGAAACAATTGCTTTTCTTTGTAACCAAACAATTTAAAATTTTTATTGAAAATGTTAGTTGTCATTGTCAAACCAGAAGGCTATTGCTTTTATTTTTTTTCAAATTTCAAGTCTTATGTGATCTAATATTTACCCAAACTTTCGCCGTTGTGTTCTATTTCAAGTGAGTCTTTCTATTATTCATTATGATCGTCATTGGTTTTAAACTTTTAATTTTGCGAACTTAGAGCGCTTAGCTATATTTCTCATGTAGGCTACGGACCAGCGTTTCGATATATTTGACGGAGCTCACTTATTAGTTTTATAATTAAGCCATATTATCTGCTTTTTCCCATCATAGATAATGATTTATTTCCAAATGTTTCATTACATTTAAGTACATATTGCAATAAGAATAAACAAACAATAATCATGAAATATATTCCGAAGGGGGCGGGCAAGACTTCAAGGTCAACAAGGTCGACCGAACCCTATGAATAATATAAAATTTTATCTTCTTTAGAAACATCAGGTGGAGGAGGAGGAGGAGGCGGCGGTGGTGGAGGAGGAGGAGGAGGCCTCGGTGGATTATTTGCCGGTGGAATGCCGGCTTTGAAACCGGCAGGTGGGTCCAGGCCGTCAGGAGGCAAGTTGCACCTAATTGTGCATTTTTCATTTAATTATGATATTCATTATACAAGGTGGCCAGAAAACAGAACCTATTTGTGGAAGTATTGTAACATTTAATATAAAATTCATTTTTCCAGAAATTAACTCAAAAGTGAGAAAGCTGCATATAAGCGAGTTTTTGAAATCGAGTCGTGACTTTAATTAAGCAAAATAAATGCTGACAACAGTGCCAAGTTTTTACGCTGTGATAACTCCCAAAATACATAACTATTGACACTTCAATACTAATATAAAAAAAACAATGAAAGTTACTAGAAAATAAAATCAGTAACTTTAAGGTTTTTGTTAAAAAAACAAGCAACCCAAGAAAATTTCCCAGCGGCCCAATGGATGGGAACCAGTGTTAACTCTAAGCAAATTATGAGTGCGAAAGTGCTTCGCAGTCGGAAAAAAAAGTGCGAAAGTGCTTTTGCCGATTTTAACAAGTTAGGTGCCCTAGCCTTTCATATAACCCATTTAAAACGGCATAGATACTCAAAAAAGCGCTCCTCCGGTTAATATTATGAATTAAAGAGAAGCCTTTTCGTTAACGAGTTCCCTTTAAGCGAATTCATGTTTAATTAAAACAAGCGAATTCATCGGCAACGAAATGACATCTGCTAACACCTGCCAGGACAAAACTTTCATGCAATGTATCACGGTGTCAGTTGCTTACTCGCGTAAACAGCAAAGACTTTTACATTTGTTACTCCTTCCATCTAACAGACACGAGGCAGGCTGGAAACCATATTAATTACAGGGTGGATCGTTTGTACAAATCCCGTGCAAAATAATCCCCCCAAATATAAATAGCAATCAACTAATTAGGGTTAGGTGCGCTGGAAATTCAACTTTTCGATTTATCCCTAAACCTAATCTGATAATTATGAATTTGTGATTTTGAACCACTTTGAAAGTCGCCACAGGCTGTTTTAAAAGATAAGTTAACCTATGTTCCCTCCGAAATATTACGCAGGATACTCCACTGTTTTAGAAGATAGGTTGACCTACTTTCCTTTCAAACCTTTTTCTCCGAAATATTACACAAGATCACTTTGAAAATCCTCCCGTTTCGTGAGCTAGCGTGACCTAATTTCTCATTTACAATTATAATATACTATTTCAGAGCTTACCCAAAGACAAGTAATTTTTAAATGTCGACATGCCTTGGTTTGTGTGCGAGTTAGTTTAAATCGGGCAGAAAACTTCATATATTGGCAAAATGTTTAGTAATGTCATGTACTTTTAGCATTCATAAATAGCACTCTTTGTAATGCTGCTGACCTAGTATCAAATATTCGCATCACAACGCCACTTGCGAGGTTACCATATATTTCAATTGGTGACCGTACATTTGAACCCATGTACATTTGAACCCATGTGTATATCCGCGGGTTCAATCTATATGCGGGTGTTAAACCCATGGGTTAGGGTTAGTATGGGTTCAAATATCCGTAAAACAAAAAAAATTCCATAGGTGCAATAGTAGGCAGGTGCAATTGCCATGGGTTCAAATGTACGTGGGTTCAAATGTAATGGAACCATTTCAATTACACTAATAGGAACGATGACACCAGAGAGTTTTCTTTTGCGAAGGTACACTAAATATAACGAGGGTGATTCTTGAGAAAAACATGAATATAAGAAATAAACGAATGATATGATAGTGGATCCCAAATAATTTTGAGAGTGTCTCGAAATACCAATCCATTTGATAAATAATTTTCATTCGACCACATGAACGCTGATATCCTGAAAATTAATGTTGAAAGTGAATTACGCATTCTCAGATATCGGACATCCAGTCGCGATATTCAATCGTTCATATGCACAAATCTCACATTAATAGTAATTGCTACCCAAGTTTGTAAAGTTCAGAAACCAACAAACAGAAAATAACTTATATTAAAACACAATTAAAATTTAGTCGGCAATAAATTTGTCGCCAAGACGATGCCATACAAAACAAAAAAGATTTGGTCGCGAGAGTTACGTGAGATGACTGCCGTTGTCTTTTAAGCAGAATGTAAAAAAATTTATAATTAATAAACGGGAGTTACGACGCCCTTTACACATCGTGTGTATTAAACTTCCCTGGTAAGTACTATTATTATTGTACTTATACACCTGTTGGAGTATTTCGGACAATTTCGAATTTAAAATAAATGAAAACCCGACATATAATAAAGACGCAAAAGTAAAATGAACATTTATTGAAAAAGTTATTATTTAAGAAAGGCAACATGATCGTACAATTCCGCCAAAACCTCGATGTTCGCAAGTGAAATGATAAATAAATACTTCCCTGTATTCGATCAATTAACTTTAGAGTATCGTTGTTCTGCCAACAAACAGCCGGGTGCAAAATATTTCCGTCCTGTGATATGCTCACAAATATTCTCGATATTAATATCATACCCTCGTGTATGTACTTTCTATTAGCTCTTTAGTGATCCCTTCCATCCTTGACCAAGTCATGTTTCGAATATGTGAACATTTTATTCGACCATACGTGGCCGGCGGAATGTTAAAATTGTAAACAAGAGAGAGGTAAAATCAATGCGAATTTCGTTATAACGGCTCGTTTACGAATTGTTGCGCCTGTTATCGTCGAAAATGATTACATTTGTTGTATTTTGAGGCATTTAAGCAGTAATAATTAGGGCATGACATCATCAAAATCGTCAAGTGAGATCTTGAAATTGCAAATTCCGTAAATAAAATTGTGAATTATTCGGTAACGAATTCAGCTTTAATGACCGTCGGGGTATTGTTTTGTTGAAAATTATTATTAATGTGAGAGCGCCAAAAACATACAGTCCATACCGATGCGACTGCAATTTATATGGTCGCAATTGGTCTGGCGCGTTTATTAATAATGTAAAATAAATTAAACGAATATCAGTTATAACCAAGCCTGTCAGCGTGTTTATTTTCTGTTGGCAGGAATCGTAAAATACCATCTTGAGACAAATTCACTTCTATTATAAAATCTTAATTTTCAGTTATTATCGTTATACAAATAACGTGTGGCAACTTTTTAATTTATCGTCGACCAAAAAACCGCCCCACACTCGTCCAAACGTGTGTCGAGCTTGAACGACAGGAACAGATTCATCGACGACCTTAATTAGGGAAAATATGTATTTTATTGGGAATGCAAAATAAATGTAACAAAACGCATTTTTTTGTGATATAACTTTGTATTTTTGGAAACGGGTTGCCGTGAAAGGTAAAATTTGATCTAAATTAATCGCAAAAATGTTTTATTTTAAATGTAACAAAACACATTTTGCGATATAACCTTGTATTTTCGAAAACGGGTGTCCTGAAAAGTAAAATATGATCTGAATTAATCGCAAAAATGTTTTATTTTAAATGTAACAAAACACATTTTCGCGATATAACCTTGTATTTTCGGAAACGGGTGTCCTGAAAAGTAAAATATGATCTAAATTATACGCAAAAATGTTTTATTTTAAATGTAACAAAACACATTTTTCGAGATACAACTGTATTTTCGGATACCGGGTGTCATGAAGAGTAAAATATGATCTGAATTAACCGTAAATAATGTTTCATTCTAAATGTATCATAACGCATTTTTTGCGATATAACTTTGTATTTTCGAAAACGGGGCGTCACGAAATTTATTAATCTAATGTTTTATCTATCGTCTAACTAACGTCTGGAACACATCATTTTCGGGGAGAACTCTAGCCCGCGAACGTCATTTAATTTAAAATAGAGAATGTTTCATGCATTTCAAAACGGAAAATCACCAGTACGTGGACAGGGATTCAACCCTCCGGATTCAGTATTCTATATCCCCCCTGTCAGAACTTTCTGAAGAATGGAACAAAGAACCCGTTAAACCGCCGCAGAAGAAGGGGAGTATTTTTTGCACTAATAATTAGGGCGTGACAATATCAAAATCAAAATCGTCAAGAAACTGGTGAATTTGCAAATTCCATAAATAAAATTGTGAATTGCTCGGTAACATTTTAGCTATAATTATCGCCGGGGTATTGTTTTGTTGAAAACACGTTGAAACTTGAGGGAATTAGTTACAATTAGCGCCTGACCTCTATTAGGCACTCGAGCACTCGAAAAAAAAGCACTCGAGCCCAATCTTTTTAGCATTAAGTCGCATACGTAAAATATCCTGTAAAAGAAGTGTTGTTCATTAACGTCATCTCGTCTTATGACCAGCAAAAATGCCTTCATTGCCGAATTATTCAATCACTATTTTAAATCAACATTCAGGATTGGCACAATTTCAGATTTGCGAAGTTTATCACCATAGAAATACATGAGAAAGTTAATTATCGTCCTAATAAATATCTGCATCACGGTAAGGACAACAATATTACCATTCGCATAAAATTGGGACGGTAAATTTACAAATCTTGATAGGTAATATTAAAGCCAACGTAAATGTTAATTTGAGTCCTCAATGTCTTCAACAGCTGTTGCCAATGTGAACGAACGGGTAAACCCGAAATATAATACTTCGATGTCCGCCGACCCACAACAATTCATATTTGTAAAAAAGAGAGGGCGGGAATATAGATTACTCAAAACCTGGATATCGCCGCCAAAACGATCGGTGACTAGAACAATTAGCGATTACAACGGAATTAACCAGTAAAAAGGCTTTGTTGCCGATTTTTTAATGTTTCCACCACGTTTATTCGGTACTCCTTCAAAAAAATATTGAATTTTGCCCACCCGTCCTCGCATATCAATGAGGAATAGTTGTGTAAATATCGCAAAATTACGGAAAATGCCACTCCTTTCAACATTGTGATTACAATAAAATGGCACTTAATGGTATTTTGTGAATTTGGTGATTTTGCAAATCTGTGACATGCTGCTTAAAGTTTCGTCTGATTTGAAAATCGTGCAGTTTGGTCACAATTCATCCAAAGTGACTATAAAATAACACGTAACACTTTTATAGTCATTTTGAATTCATCGATATCATTGATAGTCACATGACCACTCTCTTCAAAGAAACGCACTGCCTATTATTCCAACATCTGGATTCAATCACCGGGAGCGTTTTTTGCGGGAGAAGCGGAATCGGTGTGCTTGTATAATAATCATATTATAAACAAGAATTTTGCCGTTAATGCAAAAGCTTTATCTCTTATGTCTGCATCTCATTGGTTAGAATTCCGGTAAATATCGTTATGATATGCAGAATTGAGTTACAAAAGTACTAGTATGTTGCTTATTTGTCAACTTAATACTCGAAAATATTTGTTAACTCTGAATTTTTATTCCATTCAAAATCGGAAAAAAGTGCTATTTCTCTTCAAAATCGTAAAAAAGTGCTATTTCGCAGTCCCTAAAAAAAGTTGCGAAAGTGCTTCGCAATTTTCGCAAAAAAGTGCGCTAATAGTGAACACTGATGGGAACACTTTTCTAGAGAGCATAACTTTTGTGCAAAGCATCTGATGTTACTGAAATTTGCTGGTATATTCACACACAAACAAGTGTTTAATAAATTTTCTTCATTTTTGTCGAAAAAATTAAGAAATTCATGTGTTCTGTTTTTTTGGGTCACCCTATGTCAGGGGTTCCCAAACTGCGGCCCGCGGGCCAAATCCGGCCCGCGTAATGATTTGAAATGGAAGTGAATCCACTTTGGGGCGCTACATTCATCCGGCCCGCGAACATCTTCCAATTCTAATTTTGGCCCACGGTCAATAAAGTTTGGGAACCCCTGCCCTATATAATGGAATTTTTGCAATTCAATCACAACTAATTTCAATTTTTTTTGCTTGTTTATGCTCTGTAAAAGTAGCCACGGATATCTAATGATATGTAAGGAGCCAAAATCGAGATGCATAACCTGTGCCAACACAGTTTTAAATTTTTGTAATAAGTAATTTAATTTAATATTGAACTTTAATAATTACTTATTCACAGAATTCTTTATAACAAATTTTCTATTCAAATTCAATTCACCACTGCTGTAGATCGTTATTCTAAAGTGCTATTTTAAAAAATCGCTTTCTTCGCAGCTAAATGGCCGATCGATTCAAATTTAAACTTCCCCAAAGATGGTAATGGCCACAAAAAGGCTATTGCTTTCATTTTTATACAAAATATCACTGAGTTTTACTGGCGGCCAATTCTTTTGCACTAAATTTGTTTGGCTCACTCTGTATGTAAGATTGGGTACAATGTGACCCCATTGGTTATTTGACTTCCATGTTCATATTATTTGGTCATTGCCCTTATTTTAAATTTTAATCAAATTCCAATTTTGAAATTTTTATTTATAAATAAAAATATCTTATTTTTAGGAAATCGTGGAAATGCTATGAAACCCCCTGGAATGGCATCAAGAAACGGACCTTCTTTTAATCAAAGAAATAATGACCCTCCACCCCCACCAAGTGATAGAAAGCCGAGCATTGGGACAGGACCTAAGCCATTCAACTCGAGTCCGACTCCATCATGGAAATCACCAAGCAGTAATACTTCACGTCCTACGTCTGGTGGAGCACCAAGATGGAAACCCCCCGGCCAAACTAATCCTCCTCGTGGGCCTCCCCCACCCCCCGCAAGCAATTTGAAAAACAATTTTTCACCTCCTATTAATAATCGTGGACCTCCACCAAGGGCTGGAGTTCCACCAAGGGGGCCACCTCCAAGCCCTGGAATGGGGGGTAGATCTGGCCCCCCACCTCCCCCTCCTTCTAGGGACTCAGTAAGACGGACTTCTGCTTTGCATCAAAGTAGCGGAGGGGATCTCCCACCCCCACCCCCTATTTCAGCAATGCCTTCAAGGGGAAATGGCCGCGGGGCACCTCCCCCTCCTCCTTCCAGAGGACCGCCGCCGATGTTGAATCACAATTCACAACCTCCCGGAAGGTTAGTGTATTCGTTTTTTTTTAGATATGTCAGTTAGTGTCGAACTTTTTTCCGAACAAGGACGTTATATCTGTAAAGCTGCTGTTTATCGACAGTATCATAATCTTTTTTCTGATTCGGCCTCACCTATTTATTTCGGCCTTTCAGAGGGTGCACTTGGGATTTGGACCCAAGTGGGGTAATAAGTCTAATGCTTCAACCATTTGGCTGTATTTCAAAATTGAATCAACCGTGTTGGCAAGAACGCAGCCACTGTGTAATATATTTGAGTAGGCGATATTGTACTGATCAGATTATAGCACATCACAGCATTTTCATTCTTAATAATATATATTGGTTATTTCTATATATTATATTATATTTAGCGATTTATGTCATGAATCTGACCCTAACATACCTCAAGTTATAATTGCATCGATATATATATATCGTATTTTCCGGATAATAAGTATGACGAAGCCTATTTTTAACACTCAATATAGCTATAGTTTTTCTGTATAGCCCTCCAATAAGATGGGGATAAAAATTGCTTTTCTGTTGGTTAGTTAAGCACTCATCCGCGATCATTATAGGTTTTATATGGTTAGAACCAGGTGGTTGTTTCAAGTAGAATTATACTAAAAAGCTGAGAAATACGGTATCTAGGATTTTAAAAATTTTGTTTAGTTTTCCCTGTGAATTTTTTTATTTAAATAAATTTATTTCTTAAATTTTCACAGGGGTTCTTATAAAGCAAGTAATGGTCCGCCGCCACCACCTCCCCCTCATGGTGGTCGATCGTCAATGATAGAACGTTCTTTACCACCTCCTCCAAAAACTAACGGATTTCAACCACCTCCCCCATCGAGAAATGATTTTCCACCACCTCCGCAGAGAAATGATGCACCTTCGTTACCATCACGAAACGATTCCTCTGTCAGAGGGTGAGTGTTTGGTGGAATTGTTGATTTTTGAAAGAGAATGGAGTGCTCAGATTTGGTGAAAAATTGAATATACAGACTAGGGCAGTGGTTCCAAAATTTTTTAGAGTTGGGACCCATTATTTTTTACCATATGGCGACCCATTTAACTTAACTTAATAAAACAATGGAGGAGGAAACAAATTTATTTCCTCAAATTTAATTTTCAGTGAAGCTAGTCAGAAAGATGAGCTTGTTTCTTGCTATTTTCTATAATAGACTTGACATTTATTTCAATTTCAGATAGTTCTAGACGTAAAAAATTGAAAAGTTGTAGTTTATTTCGAAATCTGCTTTTAAATTTTCTTTGCCATCGATCCTAATAACCAGTATAATTAATCAAAGCTTTCTACATCTTTTCACGACCCACTAAGATTCCTTGGACTAGAGTAATTTGATCATATAGAGTACTAGTTTATAATATTTTTCTCAGGCATATTTAGGTAATTAACTACTGTATGATGATATATATCAAGATTTAACCTCCAATAAACAGCTAATTTTTATCTTGAAAAAGTGTATTTCCAGCCATCCAGTTTTCTGTGCCATAAATTTATTCTTTTTTTTGAATTTTTCAACAAATTTTCAACTTGTCTTATCTTTCATATCTGTGTAATAAAAAACTAAAAATATACAAAATACTATTCACTTCTTTTAAATAAAATTTTTATTATATTTTTCAGTCGAGCCCCACCGCCTCCCCCATCAAGGAATGGACCCAGAGGGGGCCCTCCTCCACCCCCGAGTATGTCACGTCCAGCACCGCCTTCAATGGGAAGTAAAGCCCCGCCTCCCCCACCCCCTTCCAGAGGTCCCCCACCTTCGGCCAGTAGGAATTCTGGATATAATTCATATCCACCACCAGGTAAGGTTTGACTTTGTTGTTTTTTAGAATGAGAAATTAGTTGGACTATATTTAGAACAAGCAAGGTTCCTCCCATAGTATGTGAACCAAGATGGCGGAAACCGGAACATAGTATGTGTGGTTAGGGTTAGGCCATTATTTTAGTTACAAATATTATGTGAGTTATTTGCTAGTCCCCGAACTCGTAATAGAACTAAAGTAAGGAAAATTGGAATAAAATTATGGCCTATCTCTAATCTGGCACACATACTCTGTTCCGGTGTTCGCCATTTTGGTTCACATACTACAGGAGTACCCAAGCATGTGTATGGTATTCATAAAGTCTTGTATTACAACGTTCTTTAAATTTTTTTATCAAGACCCACAGGAATTTAAATTGAAAAATAATGATAAAACTGACAATACTTTTAATGAAACTGATGTGCTTGCATATTTTTGCACAAAAGATAGAATCTTGGCTCTATTTTGGCGATGGTGGATTCCAGTTCCATCTTTCAAATTTGATCAATATTTTGTTTTATTAACATAAGTTAGTGTCGAAAAAGATTTAACCGCGACCCGATGCCCGCGATAGATTATGATTCAATGCTAGACCTGAGTGCAACTTTTAAATTGTTCAAAGTTACGAATTCCTATTACTAAGATGAGCTCGGATTTTACAAATAATTTTGAAGATTTAGATAGCATTCTCATGATAATTTATCAAATTTTAAAAACAAGCCTCCATATACATAAAGGAAATCTAAATTTTTTATGTCCCAAAAAATGCAAGAAACAAATTAAGTTCATGAATTTTCATCAATTTTCCTAAGAATGGAAAGATAATAAATTCTTGACAGCATAAAACATAATCAAATTATAATTTACCTAATCCAATTTTGGTATTTCTGAAGTCAGAACACATTGAGATTGTGTCAAGATCTTTTATTTATTTATTAGAGTTTTAATTTCTGAAAGGTTAAGGCTAATTTAATATTCTGACATGACCAAAATACTCATTGATTAAAATAAATATAAAATTCAGAGTTAGGAAAATAAGAGATTGTTCACTGTAGAAAGAAAGAACAACTCTATTTTAATAAGAAAATGATTTTGAACAAAGGCCTTTCCATAGAATCCTTGAATATACAAAATTCGCTTGTTTAAAATGTGTGCTCGCAACCTTGGATCGAATGATCTAATATAATACATAAACTAATATGGACTATATATTGGGTAGATTTGTATTCCGCCAAAGTCCTAAGCTTTATAGATCATTTCTAACTTCAGATCCCTCAAACAGTACAATAATCCCTTGGATGTCTAATGTGTTGTTTAGTATACATTGCCTTACGAAATCTGAATTCCATTACGTTTGTTTTGAGGTGTGACCAGCTCAAGAATAAACAAAAGTCATATGAGGATGACATGTCCTAACTGCGACGTGATATAGAATAATTGGGCGTACTATGAATTTTTCTGTATTTTAACTTTATTTCTGTCCATCTATTTTACATAGTCGAATTGTTTATAATGTAATTTGCTCAAATCAATGAAATCAATAATAATGAGAGAAATTGTACAAGAAATAATGCTGCACATTAAATAAATATATAACTCTAGCTAGGGGCTCCCGAAGTATGCGAACCAAGATTGCGGACATCGGAATGTAATATGTGTACTAGGTTAGGGTTAGGCCATAATTTTAGGTATAAATACTACGGGAGGCTCTTGGCTAGTCTTCGAACTGATAATAGGACTAAAATAAGGAAAATTGGAAAAAAATTATCGCCTAACCCTAACCTGTTACCCATGTTACTTTCCGATGTCCGCCATCTTGGTTCGCATACTTCGGGAGCACCTAACTCTAATTGTGTCAGTGGCTGGTATTCAATATTTAAATAAGGTCTTGCCTTGATCAAACCTTATCAAATATCAAGTTTGTTTTACTCAAAGTTAAAATTACGAGCACATGTTTCTGGCATTATGAATTCAGATTTTATCAAAATTCAAAATTTTTCAATTCAGCAACTTATTATCATAGTATGTCCATAAAGTCCCTTTACAATTTCAATTTTGTTATGAAGTCAGTTCTCAATATATCTTAACCAGGTTTGTTGTTTTTTAATCAGTCATTCTTCAAGTATTTTTACTTCATTTAATACATCAGCGAGGGCCAAAATGATTGTACATGGTATCGATAAATTCCCTTTAATTTAAAAAAATTCAAAAAGACTATGGACACGCTATATATGCCGCAGTTGGCTGGATATATATTTCGTTTTAAAAAAATAACGTTTTTGTTACTATTATTAATATCACATGTCACATCCTATATAGATTTAGTCATGGTCATTGAATTTTTTTGCTTGGAAACTCTTGGGAGAACATGCATGTTCACAAAAGCCATGCAATATGGACTTGCCCTAGTAAATGAGATCTTTAGCAATCTAGATATATAAATGCCCACACTGTATTGAGCCCCCAAGCTTGGAAACTTCAAAACAATACAATCCCTTCTGTAAGGGTTTTATTATTTTGTGACTCATCACATATACAGGAAATTACAAAAATAGATCAGCCTGGTGGACTATTGTGTTCTCATTTGGGCCATGTTTGATTTGACATGATTTTTATCTATCCCTATGTCTTGAATGCTTATGTTATCCTGTGGTTTTTATACTTGAACATTATAAAGAATTTGAACCTCATAAGGCCTGCTATAATATAGGATGTCCATAAAGTCTTGATATTTTTCAAAATTGCAAAGGAAGTTAATCGATACCATGTTGTTTTATCTAAAAGTATGTCACACTCACATATGTATATTAAATAAAGTAAAAATATTTAAACAATTACTGATCAAAAAACAATAAACCTGGTTGAGATATATTGAGAACTGATTTCACAACAATTGAAATTGTAAAGGGACTTTATGGACACCCTTTACTTTTCCAATTTGTTGCTTTATATGTCTGAAATTTAAATTTTATTGGTTGAATTTTCTGCTGAATTTAAGGAATAAATCAAATTAAAATCTACATAAAAAAATTGGGAGATGAAATTAACGATATTAAACTAGTTGAAAATACATCCATAATGCACTGTACAGGCGGGCATTTTTAAATAGTATCGAATATTTGAATACTTTGGGAATCAACACCTACTTTTTAATGTAATAAAAACTTATATTTATTTTTGGAAAATGATATTTGACAATCTAACTGGATGTAAATCTTGTTCGATTTATACAACAATGTTATCTCAAATTTCCTGCATTATTAAATATAGATTGATTTTTGCGAAATCCAAGGTAGAACAAGATCCAACTTACAAAACCTGATATTTTTTATTTGTCAATATTTTTTTAAGAATATATCAGAATTTATTCTATAAACTACTTGGTTATGGACATTCTCTAACCCTATTTTATAAATATAACAAATTTAGATACCGCCAATTTTTACGTCATTATCACAATTTAAGCACATGTAAATTTGTAGCAATTGTACCGGTACATTGTTATTTATACATATCGGTACCGATATCGACCCCTTGGGAGTGCTCCTCTATACCGACCCGCGAATATCCTTCCGCATCTAATTTTGTCACCGGTCAAGCAACTATGGGAAACACTGTTCTGATAGCAGTGGGCAAGATACCTTTAATAATTTTCCTACCTCTCAATTTTTCTTAAGAATTCTTCTTTACTCGCAGATGACTTCGAAAACAGGTTCAAATTTCGAGCAGAGCTTCCACCTCCAGAGCCTTTTCAACCGTCTCCTAAAACTTATCCCAGTCAGGCACCAAGAAAAAGTAAGTAATCTATGGAATTTTCATGTGTCTTACTGTGGATTTGGTTTGTGAATGTCTCTAATACAGAGGAATTAGAAAAAGTAATCGTCTATCATTTTAGCCAATATCAATGTGATTTTATGCTTATCATTTTTGTTACCAAAAATTTAGGTTAAAAATCTTCTATACCGTGGGTCTTTTTTATTGTTATTAATGCTACATGTCGCCAGAACATATTAGGCTTTAAATTTGCACAGCTTCTATTTCTTTTGTAGCCTAGGTAGACCTTCTTTTTTATGGTTATTATGTTTTTAGCATATGTTTAGATTTATAGCATGTGTCTGTCTGTAGGAGTGTGTCAGAATCATTTTGGAATTAACTTTCTCATTTTATTGAATTGAATTATTTTTTTAGGTTTCTCAAATCATATTGTTATATGGCGTAGATTGAGTAGTTTCATTGATTTGTATCATATTACTGATGTGTGTGTTCCTAAACTTAATGGATAATATAATTATAATAACGAATAACCCAAATAATGATGAAATACTGACTTGTATTGGAGTGGCATAGCTTGCTCTTCTTTCATACATTGCACATGCCGTATATTCTCTCATATAAGCTGACCCCTAAAAACGATTACTCCTCGATTACTAAAACTTTTGAGTACAATCATACACAAACATAAGTTCAAGAGTTTGATAAATTTCATAATTAATCTGTTTTGGTCACACTGTATTCTCAGCTATGCCATGTATAGGTGTGTCCCTTTGCCCTAATTTCAACACTGGGCTGATTATTTGCAACATGATATGGGGGTTTCCAACTCAACGACCCAATTAAAACAGCAGAGCCTTTGAATACTACAGCAGGCCTATGTTTGAAAACCATTCTTTCAAATCATAACACCATGATAAAAATACTTTTCTCCTAACTTTATTGTGTGGAGTCATGCAGAAAAAGTATTCAGAGAATGTGCCAACACTTGCAAATCATAACAGGCTCTTGAAACATTTGATACATTCAAAAATGACCAAAACAAGTCCAGTAGGCCTATTGGAGTTTTAAATCTAGTATTTAAGTGTATTTGATATTGTTATATTAAATATAGTAAATAGTATTTTTATAGTCTGTTTTTGGGATAATTTAGATTTTTTTCGTTTTCAAATATTGCCATTTTAAAAAATTGGCATTTTAGGCCTTCTTTGTCATTATTAAACTTGTAACATCGTGTAAAGTAGAAAACCAGGTATTAAAGTAAAATTTTGAGTTGGGTTGCCTGAGACTAACTCCTAATTCGTCCGTAATGAAAGGATGCTGTAGCAGGAATAAACATGACTATACTATTCAAAACAAGAGTCCTGCTGCACGCTAACACGAATGTCTTTCTGTAACAGTTGGTCTGACCGAAGTCAAGCTTCATCAGACAAGCAGTTCACAACAATGACTAATAAGATAAACTAAACTACCCGTAAAATTTATCTTGAATTTTCTGCACTATAAAAACTCATATCTGAAACAAAGCAAAATACAATGATTTGTCTGATCTTCTCCAATGAACATGGACCATATGGGAATAAATAAATATTCATATTCAAAATAATATTTCAGAATGTAAATTACTTGATTTTCACCATTTTTGGATACACATGTTTTTTGAAATATAGTAAATTTAGAAATGAAATCTAGCTGTTAATCTGTATTGGAATGTACAAGGTCCCTTCACAATTTCAATTTTGTTATGAAGTCAGTTCTCAATATTTCTTAACCGGGTTTGTTGTTTTTTTAATCAGTAATTGTTTAAATATTTTTACTTCGTTTAGTTGTTGTTGTTCTTAACACCCTTCGTCGTTCTGTGTTAGAAGACCCAGGAACACGGCGGCTTCGACCGGATTCTCCCACAGGTCCCTTGTGGTTAAGTGTGTTGGTTTGGCTGAACATATAAATAGATGTGGTTCTGCATTCAGGGCAGATATTCCTTATTGCTGGATCAATGCGTGTCATGTAGTGGTTTGTTTGGCGAACCCACCCAAGAAACTTCGTTTAGTAATACATCTGTGAGGAAAGCAATATATGGTATCGATAAATTCCCTTTGGAATCTTAAAAAATTTCAAGCATTTCCTTCATGGACAGTGGACACTCTATCTAATCTCAGTATTTACTGCTGCATATCATACTCCTGATACTCCTGATATTGCAATTGTCTTATTAATAACTGGTGACAGGAGTTAGGAATGAAACTGTACCACTGACCATCAAAAACTGACCAGTTTATATCAAATTCAATCCCAATGGAGGTACAAGAATTCAAGACAAATTTAAGATGTTTTTAGTTCTCAATTTTCACTTAGACATCTAACAGTTTTTAAACAATATTTTTTATGTGATAAGTTGATAAACGTCATTCCCAGCAAACCATTTCGAAAAATGTTGAATTCTGAAGAAATTTGTTATTCCTAGTCAAAATGTTTATTTTTGTGAGCCAGTTTTCTCATTTCATAAAACATTCCGCCATAAATATCTTAGCTCCAATAAGCATAGTCATTATATAGATAATATTAATAATAGAATAGTTGGATTTACATTACCTTACTTAACTTCAGTTTCAACTTTATAAACCACAATCAAACTGTGTGGTAAGAATGATCAAACTGATAGTCAATCATTGACTATTCGGGTTGCGTTTACTGAAATTATTTTAGTCTCTTATATGGATATAAGTTTAACCATCTTTCTACCGTGGCATGTAGATTTACACAACTGGTATTTATGGCCCATGGTTGATCTTAGATTGATATTTATTGTAACATCATAATGGGTATGTTAGCTCATTAGTCACTAGTTTCTATTTAACTTGCTATCAGCATGAGCATGTAATTGCTACACAAGTAAAAACATGATATATTTATGACACATAATATAGGATGTGCATTTTTTATGGTATATCAGAAAATAAACTACCTGGTTATGATCATTCCAGAACCTTTTTTTTATATCATTATCAAATTTGATACTGGGAAGTTATGTTGTAGATTGTATTTTTATTCCGGATTTCAATGAAAGGAAAATATGTTTTATTTGATTGTCACAAAGAGACTTTAGAGATACCGGTATTTTGATTCCAAATGTATGAGCATGTGGCAACCCTATTGGTTGATGCTTTGGTGTTCAATCGCAACAACTGTACTCACCTCAACGCAGAGCATATGTTTGGAATGTATAAACCTACAAGTCTTATGCCTATCATAATTGACTTGTTTTTAAACTGGCATGGTATATACCTTAATCAATAATATGTTTTGGATTAGGATAGGTACAACTGCTAGAACCACATATGCCTGTATACTTATTAATGCTACCATGTGTATGTTATTTTGCTCATAAAATAGAAGCTTCAATGTTTTTGTCAAATCAAAATTGCTATATACTCAATTAAATTATTAACACATCTATAGGGTAAGCATATATCAATATATCATTATAAAACAAGGAATCTAGGCATACACATCGGAAAAAGATTTCTATAGGCTCTTGTATCTTCCTTGTAGCTAACCAGTAGTGAATATGACAAAGGCATTTGGTTATTGTTCAAAAATCTCTTGCATACCATTAGTTTTATCGCATTTATTGAAACACTATCAACATTAAATTCAAATTTGCTATAGAGTTGAAAGGAAATATTGAATGGGCCGTAACTGAAAGTATATGAATAATGGAAAAACGAGCATTACTGATTTGAGGACTGTTCATTGAGAACTACCCAACTACATTGTATTGTTAGCAAACAAACGGTGCATGTTAATGTCAATATTTTCATTTCTATGTACGGTAGTTTCACTGGGTTTTCATATTCAGTAGATAAAATTATTTGGCTGGATTTTCATATGACAGGTAAAATTATTATCACTGTCATTAAAACAGCTCACAATTCCTGTGACTATTTTATGTTTAAATAACTTTGTTTGTGTTCTGCTATTAATATATTAACTTAAAACGAAATGTATCTATATTTCAAACATGGATTGTATTTGCATGCTCAATTTATATCATGGACTTACATGGCGTTTTATAATGAGTATGGATGTATAGTTTATTGTCTTTATGTGTTGGCTATTGAGTAGGATGTCATGATTTATTGTGACTACGTAACATTGCTTTATGTCGATAATGCTTGGTATTGTGGTTGCAATGTGAAAGAGTACAAATTAATAATATCATTTGAAATAGTTGCAATAGTTGGTCCTAATTTATATTGAAGCTATAAAACACTGCAAAGTGACACTGGGTATGAAGTGCAAACTTTATAGTTTTGGCATATTTATTACCATTTGTTGTATTTTGACACAAATATTAAGAGCCAAAATCTTTGTATATAAATGCAATGTTGGATTTATAACCAGCCCATGGCCACCTAATGGGTGAAAATATTTAGCAATTTCATCAAGTTCATGCTCCCGAAAATAAATACCTGGCTAACTAATCCCATACCCGACATGAACTGGTAACCCAACGAGAGGTCGTGGTTCGCCATATGATTAAGCCGTCTCATCGACTTTCCTCTCCCACATTATAAATATTTGAATCCTATCATATCCTTAATTCGATAATTTAAATTTATGTATGTTGTATGTTTATTTACCTCAAAATGTAACAATGTCTGCTTATTAATAATAATTAAACAGTATACATGTTCAAGACCTTACCGGCTTTAAACACAAATGTGCGACATTAACCTTTCACAAGTATAACAGCAGTTTAGGACTGCTGCGTTATGATATGACAACAGACGTGAAATATACAGCTGTAAAAGCAATTTGTTTTGGCGTCAATCGTCGTTAACCTGGGGTTTTGTACAAGGCAAATGATATCCACTGAAATCTTCATGTTTATATCCCAGTAATATTCCACATATAATATACGGTAATTGTTTTTAGTTTACCAATTTGTCTGGTAAAAGTTAGTGAATAGCCAATCTATCCAATACAGTCTCGCAATAATGTATGAATGCAGCTCAGCAAGTATAAAAGGGAAAGGTGGATAAATTTAACATATTGTGGGATTTCCAACAGTCAGATATTTTTACAGGCCACACTAGCTTTCTATATCCCAGAAACTATTTATTCGAAAAGAAGACAATTTGTTTTATTTTTTAAATTTTATTTATTAAAGTTTTCAATATATTTTATTATTGCATGGAAGTTGATAAAAAGTTTTTTTCCCATTCAATGTTAATGTAATTTATTTGGTTATTGGGCCTAACCCGATGTCAACAAAGCATCAACATTTCCGGTATGGATGGTATGGATACTAGCTTCTGTAGAGGGCATATTGCTCACTGTTTTCTTGAAAATTTGTTTTCTATATTATATGTTTCTAGTATTAGTTTGTAGTTGCTTTGGTTGAACTACAATAAAAGCAGCAAATAACTTCTCTTATTCCTATTTTTGCTCGTATTTTTATTTCGTGTGTGGTGTTTATTCATTTATTTAAGTTCTTTTCATTTTATTCTTTTTCAGGCAACCAGAGACGAGTACCATCGAATGCCCCGCCTCCGCCTCCACCCATACCTAGCTATGGATACTAAACTGTTTGGAGGAAAAACAAGAGCTCAGAATGCTAACATAATAATGTAGCATATTGGGGTCAGTTATAATGTAATTGGCCCCAATTAGAAGCGTGACGCAGGCCGATAACAAAAGCCAGCATCACTCAAAAACTTGATCTTAGATATCTTTTCAAATATGGGATTAGGAATCTTACAGAGATTATGTTTCGACGCTTATCTATCAAAAAAATATGTTGATTTTAGTTTAGTATAATAAATTGGTCAGCCTTTGAATCACGCATCTCAAATCAAATTTTTGTTACGCTACATTACAGTTACTCGCAACTTCATTGTTACTTATCTTATGTTCGCAACGTTTTGCTGACCTTTCTTTATTACATCATAATCATAATGCAGTGTCCAATGAATTACTTCCTGTCACATGATCCTATGGAATTGGTGCATTTTAAATTTAAAATTGCTGACCTACGGTAATAGGACAGGTAACAGAATTAGTAAATTTGATGAACAACAGATTCATATCAGATATCAAATAGATAATTTGTTCTGAAAAAGATCATTGTATACTGTTTAATTAATTGTGCCAAAGATAATATCATGAGTTTTTTGGATTTTTCCAGTAATAATCCATTTTCACGACCTGATATTTTGGAGTTTAATGGTTTTAGTGCAGTGGTTCTCAAACTATGATGATCCCCCCTTTCAAAGACACTCAACACAACATAGGCCCCCTGCTTTTCAATACAAAAAAATCCTAGTTTTATTCTAAATGGGTCTCCATCAGTTATTTCCTTCTCTACATTCTATAACAAAGCCAACACACGAAAGTAAAAGAATAAATGTGTAACAGTCAAAAAATCAGTCGATTTACTTCTGAATGTTGTAGTCATCGTGATTTGTACCGAGTGATGATCTTTGCCTGTGCCGAGAGCCCAGTTTAAAAAGGCCTGACCTAGTGCATCTATCATTAAATAGGATTCATTCATATAACTTGTCTCAAACCATTAATTTATTTTTGCTTTTGAAACCCGTACCTTGCGACTCCAGTTTCTAAAATGTTATTTTCAAATTTGTTTATCTCATCTAAGACTATGATCACTGACTAGCTCATTTATACATATTATAGGTTTTGATCTTTAATACATTCTGAAAAAAACATCAAAAACACATCATGGTTATATATTATGGTTTAATAATGGCGAACCCGTGAGTTTTTTTTTTCCATCAAATTCACAATACCAACTCCAGGCTTAGTCTTGCAGGAAAAATGCTATCTCTAGTTCTTTATTACTGTAGATATTGATCAAATCTATGAGGCACCTTCATCTTGTTTCATGGTAAAATTATGACGTTTTCCACCCATTCAGTAGAAAAGGTTGAATATAAACTGTTTTAATTATTATTTCTGCATTTGCCTGATATATTATTGTCCCTTTGATTTGGGAAATTTACTTTTATGACAATCACATGTGCCTACTTTATTCTGTTGGAGCTCGGTGTTTTTTTTGTTTTGTAATATTACTTTCTCAAGTTTCGAGTTTTTAGAGAATATTTTCTTTATTATTGTTATTGTTTTTTATTCATCTTTGTGCAAATGGTAATATCATATGCTGAAAAGCATTTAGATCCCTATCTTCCAAAAACTAAATGAAGTAAAAATACTTGAACAATTGCTGAAAAAAAAAAGCCTGGTTTAGATATATTGAGAACTGACATCATAACAAAATTGAAATGGTTAAGGACTTTAAGAGACACCCTGTATATTCGTTACTTCATATTCACAACATTTATGATTAGTAAACTTATTGGTTTTGGACAATTGGGACATCTTTTCTGGTATACCTGATGGTATTGATATACTGATAATATCACAGGCAACTTTTTTAATTCTGACTATATATTTACTCATCTCTGATTGGTGAATTATTACATGCAAATCACAATATGTCACATTCCATGAGTCATTATTCTGATTCACTTAGTATGGCGGATGTCAGTTCAAACTGTGCTAATGGGCATGTATGAGTTTATTCTGTTCATATAATTAAGTCTTGAAATATTGTAAAAAGAATCTAGAAACAGGGATGGACGAAACCAAACATTTAGTATTCTGAAATCTGAATACATTTTAAAGTGATCTTTTCGAATATGAAAACCGTATATTTTAAAATGAGTTTATCGATAGAAAAAGAAAGTTCTTCAAATTCGTAATTAAATTTGGTTATGCAGAATAATTGAGATATACATTGTTTCAATTAATAATCTCTGTTTTATTCTGTCAGAAGTTAACTTATTTTTCTCTATCATGGAAATAATAAATTCTTGAAAATCCTTGAAAAATTAAGAAATAACTGAATCAAATATTTCGAATGTATTCAAATATTCGATACGATTTGGGCATATCTATCCAGCACGCTGATCTAAGTCTCTTATCTGGATAAAATTATTCCGGTTGAATTTTCATGGGTTCAATTTTATTTGAATAGACTTTGTGATTGTTCATCCACTTGTGGAGCTGAATCATGATTTCCCAAAAGCGGGCCACAATGCTAGGCACAGAACTGATTTCACATTTCTCTTTCCAAAAAAACTCCCCATTCCTCCTAGTTTTATTGTGTGATAAGGTTATTTCACAGGGTGTTTCCACTTTGCTAAGCATGAATTGTTTAAACATGATGGGATTTTGAATAATGGAATTACTAATCACAATAACACTATAAATGATAAGAATGGAATGATAAGAAGGTATATCATGCACAATGGGTTTTTATAGTTGTACTTGACTTTGTTGGAAACGCAGTTTACACATCCTGGGTTGCCAATCCCTCACCTTGAGTGTAATAAATTTGATAGGCAATGCTGAACCGGTAAGGTTCAGGTCCTTCCGAAAATAAAAGGTTTATATATGTTAATGGCTGCTTCAGAGCATAAGGCATGATGATGAATACCAAAAAAAAAATGTTGAATAATGACCAGATTCCCCTTCAACTTAATGAATTAATCTATCAGAATGGTTGTTAAAGTCAAAGACCTGTCAAAGACCCTCAACACTTTAGGAGTTCCCTCACCATCAAGTCCATGCTTCTGAAAACAAATAACTAACTAATCCTATACCCGGCATGGACTGGTGACCGGACGAAAGGTTTGGTTCGCCATATGATTAAGCTGTATTGTCATCTTTTCTCTCTCCCAGGGATAAATATTTAAATCATATCCAATCCTAAATCCAACTTCACTTCACATGTGATCATGTCAATAATTATAATTTTTATGTGATAGAGTAATAGAGTTGGTTGAAGATTTGGATTCACAGAAGAAATGCTGTCATTGGATGTCACAGGTTTCTGAAAGTTTTTCTTTTCAATATTCACCAATGACTGCAGAATATACAATTTGGAAATGGACCGTTGAGCGCATATTTTTGATATATCTATATAGTCTTGTTTGAAATTTATAAAATTCATGTTAATTATAATAGTGTTTCAACCAAAAATTGAACCCATTTTATACAGTACAGAAATACCATGTAAATACTTGAATGCTGATATCTCTGTTAGGTCTATGAGGAAACTTCACGATCTCCCCTTGACCTCTGTTAGACTCTTGACTCCAGCTTTGAACTTGGAATATTGATAACAAAATCTTTTCCATATGCAACAAGTCTTCTTAAATAGACTGTTATGAGCGCTTAGCAAACTTTCAGAGTTCTTATATTATTATCACAGTCTATAATCCAGACTTTAGTGAAAACATGGCCAAACTGTCTATAACAGTGGTTCTCAAACTTTTTAGGCCGCAACTCTTATTTAGAATTTGTCAAGTCTTACATCCCACCTCAAAAATAACTAGTTAACTATAAGCTACAAATAACAGATAGTAAAGCAAAAGTATGTTTTCCAAAATAAAGAGATGTAAATACCCAATAAGGCGGGCAAGATTAAATCTAACTAACATTTTTATGTTTACGTTCTATCGTGGGGCGTGTCTCATGGTTTGAGAACCGCTGTTAAACTCTCTATAACGAAACATCAAGTGACTTAACTACCATATTCATTCATTATAAAAAAAATGGCATTTGATTGTTTATTTATATCTTCACTGTAAGAACATACAAAATAAAAATGTCAATTCTTTCACATATTTTGTTGTCTCTGGCCACCTTGATATCTAATATGATTTCTGAATTGGAGAAAAATTGTTTGATTTCATTATTTTGTTATCTTCGATCATCTATGACAAACTTCTCAAACTTTTGAGCTGATGGCCCCTTCCAATATATTAACATTTTCTGCGAACCCCTGTTCCGAGTTGGGCAACGGTTATCGGGTCTTACGATCAAAGTCTGCATTGTTGTGCAAGCACGCCGCTTCTTTGATTCTGTGTATTCTCTTGAAATTGTGAGATTCATGTTTTGCGCTAGTTTTGATATTTGTATTTTAAGTCAGAAGTTTATAAAAAATTTTAACAGATATAACACTTTTTGGGAAATTAGTCTAGTCTTTGTGGCCCCTAAAATTCATAATAAGCCCCCTTGCCTGGTCTTGACTCCCAGTTTGGTAACCCCTGATCTATACATAATATCTGAAATGATTTCTGCATTGGGAATACTGTCCATTTTTCTCGCTTTTTAACTGTTATATGATGTTGCCGAAGTTACTTATTTACTATATTTTCACAACTGTATCTTCATATCTATATATGAAGAGAGAGTCAATGAATTTCACCCATTTTTCAACTTATATTGTTGGTTGCGAATGAAAAATACTTCGTCTTATAAATGCTATCCATAGCAGTCTTGATAAGAGCGCTAAATGCTTACATTTTCCACATATTTTGCAATTTTTTTGATAGCTTCCAAATTTGGCAATTTATACAAGGACTTCACAGTTGAATTTTTTCTCCGATAGATATTAGTAGTTTCACTGCATTTCGTTTGGTTGAGTCTGGCATTGTTTGAGTTTATTGTTAGTTTGGATATGAACTGATTCAGTTGTCATGACATCTTTTTACTTTTTATTCACTGATCGAATTATTGTGTGTTGTATTAAAGTGCCTAAAGAGTTTTCAAATATTTATTGAAATTTTCTATTTGTAACTTTGGAGCAACTGGTTTCAAAATTGGCCAAGCCATATTCCCCCTTTACACATTGAAAATCTTGTGTGGCTACCCTGAATTCAAAGTTTTATAGCCCAACCGACCTTCATAAATGGCCATTCAAATTGCGATTGGCAATGTATTTATCATTCTTGTAGACATTGGTCTGTACAGAACTAGTACTATAAATATCCTTCATTTGCAAATACAAGTTATTTCATGCGAGTAAGGAAGCTTTATCTTTGACTTAATGATATCCTTACATTATTCGGCCATAAGAAGCTTCCTGGTCCAGACAGAGTTATATGGAGTTTTATTGTTCAATATGTTACTATTTAAGCCTACTTATACAGTTCGATAATATTCTCGATCCATTCCTCCAGACACAACATCCATTAAAAATCCTATGTGTCACCACATTGTTATACTCTCCCGTTAAGAATGTATGAGTGAGCTAAACTGAAAGTGGTTATCAAATTTTTCACATTTGATAAAGTTATAAATAGGATATTTTGAAGACTGTTCATGTTCTGTTGTAACAAATTATCTCCAGAACAAAATCAGTTCTCAGACTCAAGACTCTATTTTCTCCACTGAACTTATTATTTTATGGCCCAAATTAATGAAACTTATACATGTTTTTTAGTGTGCCTATTCAATCAGATGGCTTATGACTAACTTATTCATTCTCATCCATTGTAAGCCTGTTAATAATATATAAATCATTGTAAAATTTATTTCTAAAGCCTGGTCGTTCTTATGGTCACTTTCATGCATTATGTTATCATGAACTCAATCCCTAAGTTCCCCAATTAGAGGAAGCTTGACCTCCACGAACCCCTATTTGTGCGCCACTTCTTGGCCCATCTTGCTCACTAAATAAGTTGAGCAAAATAACTTTTGAGTCGTTGATTCACCACTCTTATAGTCCATGCTTGTCATTTTTGATTTTTAACAGTTCATCATATATCAAGAATAGAGTTGTATCTTGTTTTTTCAGGCGCTTTTTTTCATGTTTTATTTTCAAGTGAACAATGAATAGTTACTATGTATATATATTCGCTTTCTTACCGAATTAGGATTTTGGAATAATTTTTTTTTTTCAGTTTTTAGATTAGCTGGCCAATTGATATTGATAATTGACCTGTGACTCTTATGTATGTTGTTTCACTCAATTCCAAAAACTTTGTGAATCACCACTGCATTCTTGATTCTTCATGTACTGGTTACATTGAAGATTCTCTGGAATGCTTGTTGTGATCACAAAGATCCACAATCTACTTCTGCATGTAACGTCATGTCCCAGGAATCCCACAAAAGGCTATCCTTTTCTAGTGCTTTGGTAGTATCTAATTTGTTTGGGACTTGGTGCCCTAATCCATTACTCTTTTCTCTAAAATGTACTCAGACCTTGAAAATAATTTGGCTTACAACTCATTAAATATACTTATAGTTACAGCTTTCACAGTTACTGTTTTATAAATAATTGATATTGTATTGCCCTAATGCCCAGACATCTTTTCAAATGTCCAGCCCTCATGTCTTTTAGCCATTATTGTCCCTGCAATTGATTGAATTCTAAATTAGTTGTATTTTCATTAACTTTGCTGCTTTCAATAAAGGATATGAGTCGTAGTATACTACTATCTATGGCAGGGATGGCGAACCTATTTGAATAAATGTCAAAAATTTTAGCTGCACGCCGGTGTATCACAGTAGTTCACTTATCGTTAGATTATCACTAAAATTTGAGGACTTTTTGTATTAATTTAACTTTGTGGGTCACTGAAGAAACTCGGTGGGTCACTTTGTCACCCGCGGGTCAGTGGTTCGCCATCCCTGATCCATAGGATAAAACTTTGACCGAACATCTCAATACATGCAACTCTGGCTTTAGTAAAACAGTGTGTTGCTCAATTCTGTTCATAAACAAATTCTCTCGGATAATTTTATTTATCTTCTCTACATTTATGTATATTTCTATTGTTTCCTGCATATTTTTTCTTGCATTGAGAGTAATAATTTACTTGATTGTTTTGTGTATTCGCCTAACTATTCAGCACCGAGATATATTAATAAAAATATTGAATTCTATGTATGTTCCTTGAAAGTAGCGGTTCCCAACTAGGGCCACGGAGAGGTTGGAGGGAGCCACAATGCTAGGCGCAGAACTGATTTGACATTTCCCTTAACAAGAAAACTACACGTTCTTCCTAGTTTCATTGCTTGATAAGTTTATTCCACAGGGTGTTTTCACTTTGTTAAGCAAGAATTATTAAAACATAGCGGGATTTGGAATTGACCAATCAAAATACCACTAGAATGATGAGCGGGGGGGGACATGAATGCTAAAACCTTCCGGAAGGGGTCAACGAGCCATAACAAGCTGGGAACCATTGTCATGTATAGAGACTTGGGGGAGGGAGGGGGCTTGTAGAGAGAATTTAGGGGGAATGTATGTGTTGATGAGTGGAATATTTAATTACTAAGACGGGCTTGAAGCAGCAGTGAATATATGGGTTCGCAATATCGATGACTTCCTTCACAGGCCCTAACTAAAGTAGGCGAAATGTGGGTGATGTTTGGGACTAAATTTAGGGGGAATGTTTGTGATGATTAATGGATTAGGGAGGGTACAGCAACGTAAAAGAAGAAATCATTTTTCAGTGAGAATTTGCTTTCAATGAATTGATATTAAATTTTCATATTATCCTAGGAAAAAAATGTCTTAACAACTCTTCTCCCTCATGATTATTTTTCATCCGTGTGGTTGTGTTCTACAAAATTCTTTCCACGGTGTCTCTTTCCAATGCAATATACAATATTACAATATTCGTACGGTTAT